TTCTTTTTTCTTCAAAGGGTGAAAGACATTAAGAGTGTTTATCTGGACACAACATTCTATGACCCCAGATTCTACCAGATACCAAGCAGGGTGAGCTCTTTAAAATAACCATTATAATAGACAATACAGAACTCTTTGTTCTAATACAATGCCTACGCTCAATAAAAAGATCCTTTTAGTAGGTGAGGATTAGGAAAAACTGTAGGTAGTTCAACCTTTATGTGGTAGATTTGTTCCTGAAAAATGTAACATAAATCAAACTCGTATAAATTGTAAATTATTTTTAACTTTAAATTTGTGCATTTTTGGTTTAGCACATGTCATGAATACATACCCACTCCTTAATTTAAAAAGAATTAGGTTCTAGTTTAACGTTCTTGTGCATGACTAGCAAGAGGGTGCTCATGGGGACAATATATGCAAACCAGAAATGCACAAAAATCAAGAACTGCTTGTATCACTTTAAAGTAACCCTAAAGTAACTATTATTACGGAAAATGTATTATTTTTAATCTACTAACATAATTTTAATGGTACATTATGAAAGTAACAGAACGCCATTAGAGCTCTTTCTGGAACTGTCAAATAAGAAAGTATTATCAATCACCAGAGGAAATGTATGATAATGTAAACAGAACCTCAAGTCAGAAAGCAGCATACCATTAATGCAGTCTCTGCTAACATTTTAGGTATAAGCTATTAATTAGACACAGGTCATTAATTATTTTCCCGATGCTACCCTATTGCAGGAGGAGTGTTTAAATGGAATAAAGGAGTTGGTGAGAAGCTGGATTACGCTCAGTCCTTATCATGTTGTGTGGTTGAACTGTAAAGCTGCCTATGGCTATGAGTACCTCTTCACCAACCTCAGTGAGGAGTTTGGTTCTCCGGTGAGTAAAACCATCAGCTGTGGCTTTAATTTAAGACCTGTCTTTTCACTATAGCTTTAAGCATGTAATTAAATGCTGGTAAATGGCACTTTGAAATATCATTAAATTATATTATTAAAGATATTTATATTTATTTTTGTCGCAAGACTCCGAGAGATGCTTAGATGGCCATGAGTGATAGTGTTAACGTTTCATTCATATACTATGTGTGCACACCTGAATAGAATCAGCTTGAAGAAAATCTGTGATGTTGAAGGAAATATGTAATAATATGTAGTAAATATATGTACAAATATGTAAACAATATGTAATAATTGATTATGTAATTCTTACATATAGCTGTATTGATGTTTCAGGTCCACGTGAAAAACCTAGACATGTTCAGAAAGATGCCTGAAATTCTGTGCCATGTAACCACTAACAGGGCGACTCAAATACACGCGTGCAGACATCCCAGGGTAAAATGGTCTTGTTTCTCTAAGCTTTTGATTTTTATGTTCTGTGTTGCTAAACGTTGTATAATTAGATTTTTAATGGGTTGTATTGAACACTGAAGAAGTTGGAGAAGGTTTACTGTTGTTTATAAGAAAACAAAATCTTGTTAAGTTTACCCAAGAGGAACTAGCACAGTGTATTCTAACTTGATATTTAAGATGAAAAATATCCATATCTTCTGGCTATTGTGGTATAACAGCTGGGACCAGAACCTTCAGCTGTTGTGCTCCCTGTCTGTGAACATGCTAGTTTATATCTGGGCTGCAGCTGGTCTAATGATACAGAATCATCTTTTTCCAAACCTGTAAGGGGTGTCTTGGTGTTGGCAGATAGCAGCCTCAAAGACTCAAGCCTACTGCACAGTCTCATAAGGATACTTTAGAGATATTGTACTCAACTTACTGTACGTGTTTAAAAATGCGTTAAGGTATGAGCAATGAAAAGAAGAGTTAAGTGTGCTTCATAAGATTATATAGAAGCATATATGTTTTCTAATTCTACAACTTTATCCTTAGCATTATGAAGATCAAACCTTTAGATTGAGTGTTCACTTATTTTTCTCAATTGTATTTTCTGAATGAAACGATTTATACTAAATCACTTTTGAGGTAATACATTCCACGTTGATTCAGTACAGTGTCTATAATTCTTTGGTGTGAAGATTTCATACATTTGTTTTAATGTGTTGTTTTATTACTGTCTTGCTTTTGTGGAAACTTCAAAGAGGATGTTATTTTCCCTTTTTGTTTCTTCAGGATGATGAATTCTTCAGAGCAAATAGGCTGCCATGTGGCATTACAGCTAAAGATGGAACTCCACTGCGCATAATCAGCATCAAACCTTCGACCATGTGGTTTGGAGAGAGAACCAGAAAAACAAATGTCATTGTGAGGTGAGAGTGCTAGCATTACATTTGTGACCTATGTAATATCTAATTACTGCTTACAGCTGGCAAAAACAGATGTACATAATTCCAGTTTTTTTAAGTAATTTAAATTATTATATTAAAAGTATGCTTGAAAAAATAGATTTTCTGTTGAAACAATGGATCAACTGTGCACCCTTGTTCATGTATTACCAGTACCGTGGATTGATTAATGTCATTACAAAAATGCAGGATAAATGCACTGAACTTATTCTTGATCCTTTTTTCAGAACAGGATCAAGTTCATATAGAGCCTGTTTCTCCTTCCATTCATCCTATTCAGAGGTGTGTTTTATTTATTGTTCTTACAAACAATGAAAAAGAAATAGTGCCCAGCCAAATTATTTTTTGGCTATAAATGTGACTTTACTGTAGTTAATACAGCGGGCATTGTTAAGAATATACTGCAGTTACACATTCACTTATGAAGTATAAAATCATATGTATGACATTTATGTCTGTCTTGATTAAATGCACAGTAAAAGGTAAATTGAGCAATCATATGATGTCTCACAGACTATAAAAAATAAGGAGTCATTTCTGTTTCTCATTCATAGCTTTTGGATGCTAATAGTGTTTGGTTTCATAGCAACAAGCAGCTCAGAGAGTGTCAGGTGTATGCTATCTTTTGAGTCAGTGAATGCAATACATACTTTGAACATTTTTAACTATTAAATGTGTCCTTCTTTTAGGCTTCAGCCTAGTTATCTTTAGCTATTAAACCATGGAAACAAAATTAAAAAATATTTGTACCCTGTTCATTAAGTGGAATTTTATTTAAATTATTCATAAACTTATTTGGTAGAAGTAAACAAATTGACTTCAAAGGACATTTGGTTGCTTTAATTAATATGAATAGTTTTGTTTTTCCTCTTTCATAGATCAAAGCATTCCTTTCCTATATTTGTCCTGTCAGTGTGTATCCCAATGTTATCCCAATGGGCAGAACTATAGAAGATGTGAAAGAAATGTAAGTATACTTAACCACTTTAATAATGTTTTTCCTCTTTTACAATATAGCATTGTGTTGTTTAGCTTAACTGACTGAAGTATGGCTTGAAGGGCTGGGAGAGCTTCTAGTGTTTTATTTGTCTTTTATTGTCTTTGGATATCATTGTTAGCCTACTACTTTTAAATGCATCTGAAAATTAGTGTTATTTTTAAATTGAATGTAACAGGGGAAATGTAAAAGATATCAACAAAAGTGGACTTTTTTGTGAATGCAGCAAAAATAGTAATAGTCATTCCTATTGCTTGAAGTGAGGTGTGCCATACAATTATGGGGGCTGTTTTTCCAGCTTTATGCATGTTTTTGTCTCTGCAGACTGATGCCCATGTGTAGGGAACATTCTGGAAGAGGAGAAATTGTTTACAAACCATTGGGGACACTCAAGAGAGCAAAGCTTAATTGCACATCTATAGGTATGAACAAATAAAAGTAATATTAAAGAGTGCATGTCTAGATACAGCTTTAAAAAAACAGTATGATGCCTTCTTTAAGCTTTCGACATCAGGTAGAAGTTTGTAGATAACAGTTTTTACTGTACTAATTCAGATATTTCTAAAGATATAAATGATCATTTAATAAAATTTTTCTATAGTGAAAAATCCTCCCCAAAAAACAAGTATTTTGGATATTGCAGTGAAGGGAGTGTATGACTGACATCAACTCCTTCTGATGCCTCATTTTATATTTTCTAGATTCTGGTAGTGAGGAGGAGCTTTTTGATGAAGAACAGCTTACTCCCTGGAGAAGAAAATTACCTAGAAAAGAACATCAGAAATCTTTGCCTTTGGATTTGAAGCTGAGCGATTTTCAAAAAGGATCTTGCATTAGCTGCCAGAAAGAGGTACCTCATTCTTGCGATGAAAGAAACTCCTCTAAAATAAAGGTGGATTATGTTGACTGTGAGGAGTCTAATGATGATGAGGAGGATGAGGAAGAGGAACCAGAGGAAGCAACTGGAAAGACCATGGACAGCTCATCTTCTTGTAACCATGGTAAAACCTGCAGCTCCAAATCCTGTGCCACATCAACGTACATTCACAAAAAAGATGAAACACCTTTCATTGAAGGAGGAATCAGTGACAGTCAAACAAATAAAGACACTTTCGTGGGTTTAAATGGTTCTGCATCTGAACTTCCAAAATGGGATGCATTTTTCAAGCCAGACCCAGTGATGACGGACGAAGGTTCTGAATTTGAGAACAGTCAGACGCGGTCAACAGAAAATGCTGGATCTCAGTCCCCGGACCTCTTCAGTGACTCAGATAATGAGGCATCCACTCACATCTCTTCTCAGAACTCTTCTCAGTCAACTCACATCTCTGAGCCATACAGTGAAGGTTGGGGAAGCCAGGCCGAGACAGTGCTGCTTTTATCTCAGGAGCGAAAAGTAGAATATTTGAAGTGTTTAGATAAAGACGTACAAAAATCTACAGATGTGGAGAACCTTGGAGTGCCGTGTGGAAATGTGTGCAGGTTCCTGGCACCAGATGAGATCTTGCATAACACAGATCCTAGTGCAGAAAAAAACAACCAAGGGCCCACAACTGGGCTCTCAGAAGTGAAATCGGAATCTCAGTCGTCTTCTGATTTTGAAATACCCCCAACACCTGAATCAGAGGTCCCTCATGAGGAAGAGCTGAAGGAGCTGTACATGAAACTAGCTGCTGGGGAACCAATATATGTCAAGAAAGGTAGCCAGGCAATTAAGTGAACATTTTATATGAAAGGTGGAAAATACTTTTCTTCACATTTAATGAGATGTTGAAAATGGAGTGACCTGTTGTGTTCCATATGTATCATGTTTCAACAATGACCTACCTCCCCTTAAAATGCTATCTTATTGTTGCCTATTCACTAGATCCAAAATTAGTAAAGCATTCTCCTGGGCGTAGAATTCTCATCATTATAACTATAAAATATCAGTATGATTTGACACTGCCCATGCAGTACCTAAAATAATTCACATTGCCTGTTTACAGTTTTCAGGTCCACATGGGATGTCAGAAAATCCACAGTAGAGGCACAGGACAGGATGATATAATTTTCTTTTTAAAGACTGAAATGACTGTCTTGCATTATTGTTCAAAGAGAATGCTGGTACAGTGTCATGTTGAAGTGTTTATCAGACAGTGGCCAACACTAAAGCAAAGCAACACTCTAAGCCACCTGCCAAAATAAGATTTCACATCACTTTGTGAAGGGTTTTTGTTTAACGATTCTTTAAATTCCATAGTGGAATTGGCAGGTGATTGGCAGCTCAAAACCAGTACATTTTGTATTCAATAAAATGATACAGCTTATTAGTCTGTACAATCTAGAAAAGGACTATCCAAGTTGGTTTTGTCTATCCCTTCCTTCATTGCTTAGATAAAGCCAGCTCCTCAATTTCTATTTTGATGCCAATTATGAAGTAAGTAGGAGCACAATTTTGTAATAAGAGTGGATCCTAGGGGCTGTAGGCTGATTAATCCTGATCTATAATATTAATATATGCTCAAAGAATATACCTACCTCACAACTTCCTTTATCCTTTTGCATATGTCATGATGCTGTAGAGCTTGGGGTATATTACTAGGCATAGTATGATCACAAAGTTTTTTAGGTTACCTCAAATCTTTGTTTTAAGGCATTGTATTGCTTTTAAAAAAACTTTCAGAAATATTAAGAATCTCCGTTGTCTGTATATACTGCTCATATTTGTCTTTTCTGAGTAATTGTATGTTGAAAATATTTCTCCCTTAATACTATTCTTAATTTTTTAATTTGAAATTGTTTGAGGTTTGTATTGTCCTTGTTCTGTTGTCTATGTACCACAGGGACCAACTTAATTTTTTTTATAGAATACCAGGCTCAAAAAAGCTTGAATTTATGCTTTTTTATAGCTGTCCAAAGTGTAACTTCATTATATTTTGCATGCATTTATCTACCTTTATAATTCTTTAAGGAATGCTAAGATGCAAAGACGCTAGGAATATATACACGCACATATGCAGTAGATATTGTTAGAATGCACATTTTTAACTTTTGTGTTCGCAAATGTAGTTTTTTTTCAACAAAATTAACAAAGAAGCATTAACAAGAGATTAACATAAAAGTGTATAGCTGCAGTACAATTTCTGTTTAACTGCAACTGACATTTCCTCTCACAAGCGTTTAGCCACAGTACACGTGCTTATAGCCGTATGAAAGGCAGTGCAGGTGGTCTCACTGGGGAAACAATAGTGAAAGTAAACTAAACATGGTTTTCAGGTTTTAATCAAAAGAAATGGTCTTGAGACTCTCTCTCCAATCTACAACTATTTGCAGTCTTAAATTAGGGAAGAAAGTACTTCAGGTGAATTATTCTACTAAGTTCCTATCTGGTTTGTAGAAATAGGGATGGATATCTATATTCTAATAAGTTCAGGTGGGTAGCTGCGTCAGCATGCGTAGGCTGCAAAGGAACAAGTAATAGGTTTATTCCATGCTTTTCATAGAATATAGAAATAGAACAAACCTATTACTTGTTCCTATATTCTGATAATGTGAGAAGCATAGAAACACGAATGGAAGCTGCAGACAACATCAAGAAAGAGAGAAGGCTTTAAGTACGAGTAGCAAAAAACAAGTAATGTCACTGTATTTGAATACAAAATAAGGAGAAATGTGCCTTTTTTTATATACAATAATTTCAAGAATGAGAAGCTAATCTATATAAGCTAAATGCATATTCTCAAACTTGAAGTCCCGTACAAATGAGCACAACATAATTCTACTGGTGAACACTCATTTATATTTCATAATGCTTAATCAAATACAAGTATAATCACAAACTAAACCAGTTCCAAAAATTTAATGTTATAAATCAAGCCAATAACGGAAAAATAAGGAACTCATACTCCCATAGTCCAAAGATATACAGGAAAGTTAAATGCCTTCGGGAAAAACTGGCCCTGCTGTGAGTGTGCATGTGGCTGCAATGGACTGGTGTCCCTCCAGGGTGTATCATGCCTTCTGCCCATTGCTTGTCAGGATATGTTCCCTGTACTGGACAAACCAGAAGATGGATGGATAAGGAACTCAGCAACCTGAAGTTAAAGAACTACGTTTGACTAGTAACAGGATGGGAGATGTACAATGAGTATTAGATCATTGGGTTCTTCATTTAGTATCAGCTATACCAAATAAGTATAAATAAGCGCTGTAGCCATTTTTCATACTATAAATTTTGTAGTAATTAATTTTACTTTCTACCACTGTCTCAATGCATAGTGGAAATTTTGGCATGCATTGTAAGAATCCAAATCTAAACTGAAAACAGCCTTTTCCATACTAAAAACACAACTGAGATGATAAATATTTATTTTTTTCAACTTGTTAGTATTAACAACAACATGGAATAGATGATCTGCCCAACAAAAGTACAATGACATCACAGAGAATCTTGGATATTGTGTAATACAGCATCCATATCAAAGCTTCAGGTATGTTTGGAAGCAAAATGAACTATAAAGAACAGTTATCAGTTTATTTTCTAAACCTTTTTGAATATTATTCATATACTTATTTTTAAAAGGAAAACCATTTGTCTTTTTGGACCTTATTCTGACTTTTGCAGACAGTGAAATGGATTTAGGATGCAACTTCTATCGTGACTGCTTCCGACTTCCCACTTCCTTGATCCGTGCAAGTGACATGTAAGGAGCCATCCCTGAAAAAAACATTAAAATAAACTCGCCTTACGTTCACTGAAGAATGGTCGAGAAAATGATTAGTATAGCTGAAGAACAGAATATTCTCACTCAGAACCGTCAGTCAAAGCTTCCCTTTTAATATTCCCTAATAATAAAGATCATACTCAAAATTATGGCAGAAACTACTTTTGACCAGGGGCTTATCAGGTTTGTGTGTAGTGGTTCAGGGTGTGGAGATGAAAGATCTGAGGAACCTTAGCAAATACTCTACTGTGTCCAGAGTCACACATAAGACGTAGCACTCATACTCATTGTAAAAGGCAAACCTCCTCTAAGCTTCTTTTTCTAGAGACATCGGCAGGCCTTTAAAGCTATTTTGAGATTTATTTTATACTGTCGGATTTCTGAATTCATAATGTAAATATTTACAATCAGTTTACAGAATATAACATTACCTTTTCATTGTAAGAACAGTTACGATGTCATGATCCTCCTCTTTCAATTCTAAATCTTTAAGAACAATCTGAAAAGCAAAGAAAACCAGGAGAAAGGGAAAGTAATGTTCTGTGGCAATTAAAACCCAATGTTATTCTTTAGATGGACTTTTTAAAAAAAGTACACCCACTCATGGTTTTTGTTACGTTATTAAGCATCGTAAAACATAAGCTTGGTAAAAAAATTGATTCTCAGTTATTACTACATGCAGTGTGCTTGCAATCTTATCACAAACCACAGCCTGTACAGTAATTAAATGGTGCTTCTTTTAGCAGCCCTCAAAAATAATTTAGCTATTACTTGGCTCCTCCAGTTGCTACTTCTTGCCATTATCCCACTGAATTTACTCTTGGCTTTTTCAAGAAAGGGAATGCAATGCATGTGATATCAAGCATGCAACACCTAAAACCCTGTCCTGATTTCCTTGCAACCCTTTTGTATAGCCAGCCATGTGAGGTGCTTTATCTACACAAACCAGAATGATGGACTCATCAATACTATAAAAGCTTTACTAACAGCTGCTTTTGCCATCATGAGCATATTTTCCCAGCTGCCAAGTGTGAGTCAGACATCCTTTGTTTTTTTTTGTGCTTAACTAAAATTACCCAAATGACATGAGCAGCTCTATGCTTCTAAGAACACAAAACTGAGGGTTTATTTTCTAAATAGCCTTTTAAAATCACTAAATTTAAGATGCTTTTAGGAATTACAGATTAATTCATACTTAGAAATAAAATAAGATAAAAACAAAGAATTGGACTTTGTTTTTTTTTGCTGAAATGTCTTGCTGAATTTTTAAAAATATAATGCAGCACATTTCTCCACCCCTCCAATTTGTGACTAGTAGAGTGAAAAATGTAGGCCACGTGTTTAAGACTTCACTTAATTCTGAGCATCAGCTTTGCTCTGCGCAACGATATTAAAATTACAGTATAGCATTTTTAGAATTTTTTAGCAAGACATTATCTGATCTGTAAATTGCGAGGTTTTTCTTCCCCGTTTTCTCAGGGTTATGCAGAGGCCACCATCCAAGAATCTTACTTGTGCAACTTTTTCCTCCGTGGTGCAGGTCTGTCCCAGGGACTGGTACAGCTCCAAGCAGACGGAAGCTGCATTCCCTGGGCTCTGGAGAGTGTGCTGTCGCCTTGCTGGTAAAGGGGTGCCAGACGGTAACAAAACTGTGTAGATATCAGCTCCGGATTCTCCCGCCTCCTAGCAGAAAGACAAAATCTCAGGCTTGAGCACAGATGTCAAATTTTTAACAAACGTGAAACTACCCAACAACATCTCTATCCTCCTCCTTACCTTCACCAGAATATCCTTCCCACAGCATTCCACTGTAATGCAATCCTCATCCAGGGTGGTGGTATCCCTCCCAAGCAGTATTCCAGCCTCTATGGCAGCACCAATAGGAATAACTTCATCCGGGGGGATGGAATTCAAAAGCTCCACATCTGGAAAAAGATCCCGGATCATCTGCTGAAGCTTAGGGATTCGGGCAGAACCCCCAGACAGTACAACCTATCAGCACAAATACAAGCCATCAGAAACCACAACTTCCATGAGAAACATCTTATTAATCAAATGCATCATTTCAGATGTAAGTGTACATTTAACTACACCAAAGCATAACACCTCAGTCCTTTATGGTTTTAAACGAGAACCACCACTTAAGAATTTCTGTCCAACACATCTATTGGGAACAACATTCGAAAGCTGATAAAAAAATTGCAGAGGAAGCACATTCAGTAGTGTATTTCTAAGCATGATGGTATGCTCCTAATTATTTCAAATCAGACACATACTGACCATTCACACTGTACTCACGCAGAAAATGAACAGAAACCAATGGCAGAGAAGCCATATACAGTAAAAGGTGAGGTGCATTACAGAAATTTGAGAAAACAAGTTACATAATGCTTGCTCACAAAAGTTGTTTATTTGAATATCTGCATGGAATTTGCACCGTAGTTCAAAGAGATTAGGCACATAATCAAATATGAACACAGGGGAACATTCTCATGGACATTAAAAGCACACACTAGAAGGAACTATGCTAATAAGAACATACTGTGTGCCCTCTGGTGGTCATTAGTGATGTTAGTGCCTTGTATTGTAGCGTGTTAACAATGAACGTACACAGCACAGCGAGCTGACTAACTTCATGAGGACCCTTAGACTATTTTTTCAGGGCTCAAACATGAAATCAGATATTTTCTCTTCTTTCTAAAGCAAATATCTTGGATAATTCAACAGCACTACTTTGCACCATACCTTACTGATGTCAGTAGTTGAAAGGCCGACTTGTTCTAAAAGACCTTTGATTGGCTGTATACTCTTGTTGAAAAGGGAGGAACACACAAGTTCAAACCTGGCCCTGCAATGGAGCAAAAAAGATCATCAAGCAACAGAACGTACTACCCTTAACTACTTAACCACACTGTAAAAAATTCTCACTTACCTGGACACATTACAGTCAAAGTCCATTCCATCATACAAAGAATCTACAAAACAGTTCGAACTCCCCAAAGTAGACAAGGTGTGCTTTGCAACATCTGCACTATTCATCAGTTTCATCATTGCTCTAGGATTTCCTGTTACGTCATGTTTAAAGGACCTGCGTTACCAAAAACAGTGACATGATTACAGATATTCCAGCCGTATTTCAATAGATGCATCAGGTCAGCACCAATTAATTTGCAGCTACACTCATTTTGCGGTTGTGTGCCAAAAAAAGGTTTTTCCGTTGAAGTGGATGGAAAAGGGTGATATGCCGATGCAGGGCCCAGGGTTTGCTATCCGTGTGGAGTTTGTATGTTAACCCACATGAACATGGGGAGTCCTCCACTTACCGCAGACATACTGGTAGTTAAGACATACTGGCTTGCCGCTGGCGTGTGTGTGTTTGTGTCTGAGTGGACTGGTATCCCATCCAGCGGATACCTTGCCTTGCACCTGTTGCCAGGATAGGCTCTCCCCCTGCCACGGATGTGGATGTGGATGCAACTGATGTTCACAATTTTCTTTCCTTTTCACATATTTTATGCCAGAAAATCAAAACATTGCGTGCTCACCTTTTAAACTCAGATGCTAAATACTGGGCAAGAGCCTCTGTAAAACATTCTCCACCTGTGCTATCATCAGATTGTGTAGCAAGAACTCGATATAGCCCACTGTTCACCTCCATTACAGTCACTGAAAGGGATGTTCCTCCAAGCTTATAAACAAGTACATAGCTGCAGATTTAAAAAAAAAAATAGTTAGAAATCAAAGCCACTTTCTCCTCCCATAAGTTAACTCAGACTTTCATAGCTCTGTTGAATGCACTAGGGATGACAAAGCCCCATCATGAAGAATCAAACTCCAACAGGTTATATAATATAGATCTATGGTTAAGAGTTATTTAATGTGCAGGACTGTGGTTCTATACTACTAAAGTGACACCTGAACTATACAAAACAAACATAAATGCTTGTTCATTTTATGATATCACCTTACATTTCTGTAAAACTTGCAATTCACATAATTTCTGGATGAAATATGCAGACTTTTACAATTTCAGAGCCACCTACTCATGACAAGTGCGCCTCTGGATTTGTAACAAGTGTGAAACCAGTCACTGGAGCGCATCACGTCTGATATGTGGAAGTAGCTTAGGTGGTTGCTCGGACTTCAGCAGAAGCATACGGAGCCACCAAACACTTGTACTGACAACAAACAAATGTCTGCTCAAGAGGTCAGTGCTTTTAATGACTGATCCAAAAAGGTACAGGAGTCACTGAGCAGTGACAAGTTCTCACCTTTTTCCAGATGGCGAGTCCTGGCCAATTCCATAGGCTAGAAGCGCTGCAGAAGGCTCATGAATCAGTCTCAGCACATTGAAACCAGCTGCCTCTGCTGCTTGCCTTTACAACAAAAAATGGAAAGCATTTTATTTCTACTTTTTAAGCAGATTTAATGTAATGCAATTTCTGTTAAAACAGTGTTTATGAAACTGGATTCAAGGACAACCCTTTCCTTATCCTGGTTAAATAGTCTTTGAAACCTTTACCTTAGAGCATTCTTCTGGTTCTCCCCAAATTCAAATGGCACTGTAATGACTGCATCGTTGACATCTGAGCCCAAGGCTGACTGAGCAGTTTCTGAAAAGTGTTTTAAAATACGCAAAATAAGCCATTCAAAACCAAAGGCAATTTGCAAGAAGTTTCCTGTGGTTTCATTTTGATTCACCCATGAATACACCTGCAAACTAGATGCTGTGGTTTTACCCTGTCAGTTTGATAGCTGATGGATTAAATCTAAGGCTCTCTATTAATTAATGTTATTTGCTCCCAATTAAACATTCTCATAAAACATACTTTAATTTGAAACTGAAATCAGAAGAGAGCAGCACAGACAGCAATGATAATTAGAAACAGCATCACAACAACTAATATTAAAGCAGCACCTACCTTTCATTTTGTGGAAAATTAATTTGGCTACTTCTTCAGGAGACACATATTTGATAGCCTCCCCAGTATCAATCTCATACCTAGGCTTATCATTCTTATTGACCACCTTCAAATAAATGAAAAAATAATAATAAATTCAATAACTACAATACAAAAAAATCACGATCTGTCTGCATTTCTAATAAAACTATACTTACTGAGCATTTACTGTCTGCTTTATGCTTCTGTACTTCTGGATCATCAAAACTAAACATTAAAAGAGATTAAAATTATATTAGGAATGAATTAAAAAACATTAAAGATTCATTACTGCTTCGACTGATTACCATTATGACTACAAATTACTCAGCCTTAACACGAACCTGTGTGCATTTATTAAACAAAGTTCACAGACTTACCTTCTGCCTAAAATCTGTTTCACTTTTACCACAGTATTCCCGGCATTTCGTATTCTGCCTTGCTTCGCTGCCAGTCCTGCAATCTGAAAAAGACGCAGAGTAAGGAGAACTGGAGATAGCAAGCACTGACACGAGCAATACTTGATGATGGACCAAAAGCACACAACTGCATTCGCGGCGAGACTTACCTGTTCGGTATCTCTGTACGCCACCACAGCTGGCGTGACTCGGTCGCCGGCATCATTTGCAACTACGTCTGCTCTGCCGTCCTAGTTCAATTAAAAACAATAATTCAAAACAATCCTTTTGCTTCACATCCGCTCTCACAACTTTCAGATAGGCTATGTGTCAGCATTAAGATGCAATATAATTTCAGTTACATGTTATATTTTAAAGGAAAGTAGTATACCGGCCTCAACGATTTCCCAAAAGAAACATTAAAGTACAATCAGTTGGGATTAATTACGTTGCGTTTTAAAAGCATTTCTGAAATGGAAATGCAAAGTTTTGACAATAGACTTTCATTTACAATATATAAAATGAAATGCTAATAGTTTTTAACTGCTTTTGTGGTAACAAACCACTCAAGCAAGCGAAGCCGTTTACTGTGCACAATGGCTTCACAGATAATTAAAAAGCAAGATAAAACTGTTGATATCCACGAATACTGAACGAGTTTTAGCCCTACCAAAATATATTAATACATCAAATACCCTAAGACTTACCTTAAAAACTGCAACACAAGCACATGTGTAACCAAAATGCACTCCTATAGCAGCCATGCTTGTTAACAACCACTAGCACACAACCGGAAGCCGGGTAAAACGGAGTGACGTTGATTTACCAATCAAAACAGCGCTTCTCATACTCTATCCAATAGCAATTAAGAAACTACGCCGCTAGAGCTAACAAGTACCCAATTAAAACTTAGATTTTAAAGCTATCCAATACGAAATATACAATAAAAGCCAATAGAAAAAGCATATAATTTACAAGCCAATAAAATCGTTATATTTTAGGACGTACTGGAAGTTGTCAACTAAAAACTTTTCGCGTGTGGTGTGTAGTGAAGTTGATTTGTCTTTAGAGTAGGGTAGTTATCTCAATAAGATTGTTTTTCCAACAATATCATGCAGTTTACAAGCATTTTTACAACTGCAACATTCGTGCTCATTTCCCTAAATACAACCAGTGCTAGCGATTGTGAAGGTGAGACGTAAATGCTTGCATTGCAGTGTGTGTTTGGAGACTGCATGTAAAAATAGACCCTGTCTGGCGATAGAGCAAAACTGAAAAGGTGGATAACTAAGAAGGCATGTGCATGGTATCCTAGTTAGTATACGAGTTTAACTATCTTAAAAGAAATAACATTTCATAATATAGAACCCTAGATACCATATTTTAAAAAACTATAAGAAGGTAAAAAGTGTTTCCCATGAATTATTATATTTGCGCGGTTTTACGTACAGCCTAGGGGAGATTAAAATATTACTAAAAAAGGTACTGTAACTAGAAGAATAAACTCGCGTCAGTAGTGCGCATAATTATACATTTGTTTCATTTTACTTATTTAGATATGTACTGTATTTTTTTACCCTATCTATGTCTCTAAATTCGAACAGTTAAAATACATTCTTAGCTTTGGTAAAACAAAAAGGCAAAACCCTACTTTTTGTTGCTCATCTACAAAATCATAGTCATCTAGATTAACTCCTGTATAATTGTAGGTTTTCTTTGCTTTGTTGTGTTTATTATACGTTCGCTTAGAAGAAACAAAACTGGAATGCCTCCATTTAAGGAACGCTCTCTGTTGCTCCTTTAAAGATGAATGAAGTAGTACTTTTATATCTTGATTTTCAGAGCACTGTAAATGGGTAGTATGATATATAATTATGATTTGTTTTTATTTATGCATATTATGTTCTATATTCTGCTTACATAACTATTTATCTTTGAAATCTAGCTTTATGAAAATAAAGATAGATTATTATTAATAATACAAATATTAGAAATCAAAGTTGAACCCCCTTTAAGTCACAAGAGTGTGCCCAGATACGGTATCATACCTTGGGAAAAGAAGCATTATATTTCCAAACATTATTTTCAAACATTAATATAAACATATTATCCAGTTAAGCAAGTTCAGCATTTTTGTTTGTGCCAATCATTTCCAGGTTTCCTCCAGGTTCCCAGTTTAAATTAAAAAGGGCTTTGTTTCTCACATATATTATCAGAGAAACTCCTTATCATCACGTTTCAGTATTGAAAAGACCAACAAAAGAAAATTGTCTCAAATTATATTTTATAACTTGCGATTTGAGCACTAAAAATTTGTTGCAAAATTATAATGACTGCATATTTTGATCTTCGTATTTTTTTTTACGTTATGTATATTTTTACAGTTTACATAAAACAAAGGTAATAAAGCAAACCATGGGAAATTATTACATTTTTTACTAATGTGTTTTATGCCCATCCTAATTCTTTACACTTGCATTCCGGTAGAATAACAAATTCAGTGTCTATTGGTAAACTCACCTTTAGGTGGCAGTGCGGAGACGTAGTTAGGGCTCCATCCAGCTTCACAAAAGGGTGGTAAATAGGTAATTGTAAATGTATTTCAATTATCTAAAAATAGTTAATGAAGTCACTTTACGTTAACAAACATCAAATCGATTAATAAAAATCCTCTGATGTTGTCTCTTGATTTCAGCACAAATTCTAACTCACTTTAACAAATAGAAATGCATAGTCATAAGTAAACAAAATTGAAATAATTTTGAATTAAAAATAACATATTAATGAATTAATGAATCGGGATAGCAGGAGTAAATATGCATGATGTTCACCACAAGAAACATCACTTATAATTTCACAAACATGTCAGCAAAATTACAAAATCTTTTCCTAGCAGCTGCACCAACATTTTATTGAGCAGATGTGACATAGGTACACGTACAGTATCATTCTGATTAACATTGGTCATCAACAAATGGAGCAGCAGGGGGTCTACTGTGAAAGTCACAGTTTAGTCGTTTGTGTGGCCATTGCTGAAAGCAATATAAGCTGTTCATCAGCAGCACATCCTTTGCAGATGTCGCCTGTGGGAATTCTGTTCCATTCCTCTCTAGAGCCTGTAGAAACAGGCGCCCGCTCACAGGTCTGTCAACGGCAGATGCCACATGCCATCTCTGCTTGCCCCGCAAATCATTCAATGAGGTTCAAGTCCGGCAGGCAGGGCATCCATAGCATAATTGTCCAAGGGTCATCTCTTAAGAAAGCTGTTGTTATACAAGTAGCATGAGTCCAAAAGGAAGGGCAGCAAGTGAGGACCCAAAAGTTGATCAATGTAGTGTCACGCAGTTGAGTTCTGTAGCATATAGACAAACCTGCCCTGAGAGTCACACTCACACTTGGACCTCTCTCTATCGATTGATATAAACAACAGTTAATGTATTGTTCTGCACATCTCACTCACACTGCATACTCATGGACACTCATGGACATCAGTTAGGCTGCTCTACACAAAACCTACAGTATATCCGGGGCTAAACAGAACTTGACTCCACAGCTGGTGAGTGCACCTGAGTTGACCCAGTTTCCAACAAACTGATGGCACAAGACTTCAGTTTTCTTGATACGCAGAGAACAGTGGTTCCTTTTTGTGTTTGTCTTTCAACAGGTTAAATTCTCATGACTTCTCTCATTGCTCAATCAACACTTTTATTAATAAGGTGATTTAGTACTTATATAATAATTGAATTTACTCAAGTGTAGCACATATAGGAATGAATGATAAATTAATCTAAATATTGCCTACAACATTTCATCACCCTCAGAAGTCCAAGTATTTCTTAATATATCATGCCTAAATACAGTCCTAGATTTCTTTTGATGCTTTATTCTGGAGTGACACATTGGGGGTGGGAGGGGCAGAAGTCAAAATTCATCCTGTGCTAATCCGCTTACAAGAGGTGTACTACATCGACCCTGCATCCTAGACAGATCCCTGCATTGTGGCTTTAGAATAATGTCATGTCTTTTACTTCACAGCACGTTTGCTTGCTGTTTCCTGAATTATTTCTGTCAGTGAGAAAGAGTCCGAAAGATTTTTGGAGTTTATACTTTGAAAACAGTTTCACTGGTGCAAACAAAAGCAAAGGATAATGTTCTAATCAGGGCTATCAGGGTAATCAGGAGTAAATAGCAAGTAGCAATTCCATCTAGCATTAGACAATCATTTAATTTTATAAACATTTACAATTGGGTCTTTTAAAGACTAACATGTCTTCAATTTAGGTAAGTGATTGTTTTCTAATATGACTCTTGCATCTTTATACAGTATATATATATATTAATTTTAACATGACATTATTTTTGTGCACATTACCATTTGTAGTATCTATTTTTCCATGTATCACACAATAGGTCTGCATATACACTTTGTAATGTCTATGTCTTATATCTAAACTAAACTAGGCCTGTTGTCATTAATAGCTGGAGAACTGAGTTGTTTTAAGCCCTTAACTTATCTATATTGCAGAATTTTGTTTAAAATTGTATCATCATTATTGCTGTTTTAATTGTAGTATGTACTGGATTTTTGGGGAAATTTTACCAATACCTGAGCTCAAAGTACGCAGAACTGACTCCGGCCAGGGTGGAGGAAGAGCTGCTTGTGACCTGCATGGATGCCGAGGGGAAAGAAAACAGACTGGTGAGCTAAGGATCCGTTAGCTTGTCGACGTTAAAAACTCCTTGCCTACAGTAATTACATGGCGGAGTTTGCCTGAGGTTACGTTAAAGGCAGGCTTGTTTGATTAAGAATATCATCTTCATTCTCAAACCCTTATTCTCTGATGGCTTACCAGAAAAGATAATAATATGATGCAAGTTCAGCTGATAGTTATTTGAGGACGTGGGTTTAGGCCTTCTTAAGGACTTTTCCTTTTAAGACACTAATTGACGGAAAACTTTACTCCTTGAAGTGTAATGATAGTGATCTTCTGAGGGCTGTTGGGGGGGGGTGTTATCAGTTTGCATTTGTTTCATGGAGATTTCAAACATTCTTTCTGAGGGAGAGTTGTTGTTGACAAAGCCATAGCCAACATTTCAGACAACCACTCTTTTTACTATGTTGTGTCTACTTTCTACTTGTATAAACATTTCCCTAAAATAAAATGCTTCAATTCCGTACAAATAAAAGCCGTGGAAGAAACGTTGATAATTATGAAGTTTTGCTTTCTCCTCTAAGAAGAATATTTCTAAAGCCATTCATCCCATGTGCTTGAGCTTCCCAGGGTACCAAGATGGCATCAAGGAAATATTGTGACTTACAGACATACAGAAACTCAGATTGTCAAACTTTCTAACCTTCCTGTTCTTTGTCAGCTGTAATCCTCAGATGGGCAACCAAAAGGAAAAAAAAAATAAAACTCACAAAGGATTGAATTAAATCCCTTTAAATCACACAATGTCCGTTTCTTTCAGTGTTACTATTTGGGAGCAACAGCCGATGCAGCTACAAAGATGACCAGTGAAGTTACCCGTCCAATGAGCTTCCATGTACCAGTACAGAAAATCTGTGAAAAGCTCAAGAAAATGGACAGTCAGATATGTGAACTGAAATATGGTAGGTTGAGAAACCTCATAACAAACAGACTGGCATATATTGCAAATGTAGATTCTTATTTAAGGTGTCAAAATATTAAAATAATTTAAACATGAAAACACTGTAATGCTTAACTGTAGAAAACACTTTACAATTTTTTCCCCAACCATTCTAGTTTCTGGATGAATATGATCGCTCTACATCTTTTTAACATCTTACATCTTTTATAAGATAAACATTCAGTTGCAAGAAGTTAGTCTATTTTATCTTGCTGGAACATTACTTTTTATTTGTTTATTTAATTGTGTTTTACATACTAATGAGAAGAGAATTAAAAATGGGTAGTAAGTCATGTCCTTACATTATCTTGCATGTAATGTAAGCAAGTTACCCCAACAGCAAACTTCAGATGCACAGGAATTTCACTTTCATTTTCTGCTATTATTAATTTTAATGGGATTATGTTTTTCAGAGACACAGCTTGAACTCAACTCTGTGGACTTGTCCAAACTGAGGGTAGCAGAGCTGAAGAACATACTGAATTCCTGGGGTGAAGTGTGCAGAGCGTGCATCGAGAAAACAGATTTTGTTAACCTCATCCAAGAGCTTGCTCCAAAACACACAAAACACCAGGGGCGCAGATCAGATCTGTGATTTCATACACAGTGTTGTCTAACTGCAGTATCTCCAGACATATTACTGAGTAACATTTTTACATGACGCTCCTTTCAATTCAACAAAAAAGTTTACAAGCGAGAGGTGGCTATTTGATCCATCTCATCTGTTTGGTAGTTAGCTGATCCAAAGAATTTATCCGGCCATTTCCTGATAGACGTCAGGGCATCGACTTCAACAATATGACTGGGTCAGTTGGTACAAAACATTTTATGGGTTGTTGGTATAATGCCAGTCTTTATACAAAATGTACTAAAAATGAATTTTGAAGATTCTGTAAGTAATGAAGGGGATAAAATGACACAGAAAAGGCAAATCCTGTTATATATTATTTGGAGCTACCTGGGTCAGGTGAGATAAAGTCTTTTAACATTTTGGTATGGGTATTCTTTTAGCTACATGTAGTACATATTATCTAATGTTTCGTGTCACAGATAGTTACTTTCCACAGCATTCGCTTACTTTGGTAGCACCTGAATTAATGGTAGCACTGAATTAATGCCTTTATGCTACATTATCCTTGATTAAATAATAAATAATACTATATATAGGGTGGAACAGTAGCACAGTCGCGAAAGGCTAGATACTTTCCCCCTTTCCACTCTTTATCAAGACCATCTAATATTTAGGGGTCTGTCACGGTTGTAGTCCCTCCCCCTTAAGGGCACTCTGGCTCTTTCACTTCTGAGTTGATTTTGTGCATCTGTCCCCTGTTCCTGCCTTCTATTCAGCCAACCTTAAAAGCCAGACACTCACTCTGTTCCGGGCTCTGCATTGGTTCCTGTGCCAGGCGAGTCCGGGTCCTGGAGCGCCTGGTCCTGTTCCCCCCCTTTTCCCACCGACCCTTCACCGGATCCCCCTCTGGTTTTTAATCCTGTTTGTCTTCGTCTCGGATGGACCGCCCGAATCTGGACATTTGCCTCATCTTGGATTTCCCTTTGGACTCCCTTTTGGACTGTTTGCCTCGGATTTACCCCCCAGAACACCTGCGCACCATGGACAAGCCCCTGTTTTCATTCCTGACCCCTGCATGCTTTTTTCCCCTTGTTTTCCTCACTCATCCCCAGATTGTGTCATCTGCATAGGGTCCTGAAAGAACGCTTTCATTACAGGGTCTAAGCTATAAATCTTGCTTTGCACTCAGTGTGCATTCATGTAAAGGTAAAATGATGTCATATTCTTTGCTTCTTAGGCATCTGTTTTGTTTAATTTGTTGTTTCTGTTTATTTTGTAAAGTTGGTTTGCACACAAAGAAGGCCCAGTTTAAATTACCAAATAAGGAATTTATATTATTTTACAACTTACTTTATTACTTATTACAGCTTTATAGAGGCTATTTTGCAAATATATTGTAGCAATACTATAACAATAGGATCAATGTTTTTAAACAAAGTACTGCACTCACTACTTCTTAAAAGATAAGGGCAACTGAACTGAAAATTAACAGCCTACCTATTTCAGTCAGTTGAACTACAAGGCTATCAGGTTTACGTGGCTATGTACTTAAGAATAGTTCTCAGATAACATGTTATTTCATTGCTAATGTAAACATTTATTGTAGAGTTCCAACTTGTCTTTCAAATGAGTTCAACATCTTTTTATGAAACATCAAGTACGGGTGTATAATATTTTTTTTAAAAGAACCATAAAAAACATTTAATCTTTACTGTCTCTCACTAATCCAGGTAATAAATAAAAGTTGATTAATCATGCTCACAATTACTTACATCTTACTGTAAATTAAAAATAAAACTACATTAGTAATTGACTATAATTAAGTATTTACTGTACCTCTTATTATCTCCATTCATCTCTGTTGCTTTGTGATATAATTAGTATACTGCTATAGTAATTACTACAGTATGTGCACAACAGTTTCTGAGGAAAATTTGATACTTTTGTTTACACCACAAAATGTAGATCATGTTTTTAAAAAGAAAGTGTTGTAATGACACACTTTTAATATATAAAATAATAAAATAATTTGCATTTAAATTAAAGACTGTATTTGAGTATAAACATCCTTATAAAATTAGTCCATTTTGAAATGCCAAAAATGCCAAAAAAGGTGAAACTATAATGATGATGATGATGATCACATAGAAATTAAGGAAGGTTTGATGCAAAGGCTGTGAAAAAAATAAATTCCCTCTTTCCTTCCATGGAAAACAAAAAAATGCTTTGTGCAAAGCACCCTGGGAAAGATATTGAAACTTTATAGAACAATACAGATTCCCTAACAATAGACTGTATTAATATTTTATCCACGAGGCTTTATTCAGTTTGCTTGATGCATAGAAGCACTGCAGGTAATGTGTCAATTTAGATTTGAAAAGCAGACTCCAATTTGTTTTGGACCAGAAATTTGCAGCCTCTCTCCATTGGTTTTGCAAATGTTTGCCTTGTATAAAAACACAGCAATGTAACTAATATTAGTATGATATTCACTACATTTTGTAATTTACAGTTTATTTAAATCAAGTAATTGGTGTGCACTTTAAATTATTAGAAGTGTTTAAAAGAATTTGCAAATTACACAAACTACCATTTGTATATGTATATGGGGGATTAAATTTAGTTTGCAGAAAAGAGTTTATTGAATGTTCTGCGTCTCTGTATCAATTGTCAGTCCTTTCTGCATGCATATTGCCCATTAAGATTTCTTCTCATAGTTAGTGGCCTAGAAGACATATTGTTCAGTCATCTATTGTCAATTCATGTAATTTACTTCTTAACAATTTTAAGTGTGTTTTTTAATTTCTTTTCAATAAACTGGAGACTGCTGACTGTTACTGTCCATGAGAGTGCCTTTGTTACACCCAGCTACTGGTATTACTACATAATTCAGACTTACCTTGAATGCTAGAAAGGGGTGGATGAGATTATTCATTCAATTATTTGAGAACATGAGAGATTATTAATTAGAGCCATTCTAACCTATTTGGCACTAGCCAAATGATCAAGGATCTTATCCATCTGTGTTTTGATAGAAACAAGGGTCGTAGCTTTGACATCATGACTGGGTAGCTTGTTCCAGACTCCCACTACTTTTTGTGCAAAGGCGTACCACCTCCTACTCTCAGTTTTAAATGCACTCCCACATACTTTCAACTTGTGTTCTCTGGTTTGCATTTCATTGTTGATTCTGAAGAATTCCACTACATTGACTTTGTCATTTCACTTGAGGATTGTGAATAATTATTTAATATTCCCTCATAGTCTTCTCTGTTTAAGACTACAAATGTTGAGTTTTTTAGCCTGTCCATGTAGGCTAAATATCTGGTTGCTCTTCTTGGGCAACCCCAGAAAATATCTGGCTGCTCTAACATATTTTCCAATATATTCGAGAATATTCTAACAAGGCATTACCAGTGCATTATACAATTTAACATTCCAGGCTTTTAACTATTTGTCCCAAGATTTTGTTTGTTTTTTTATTGCTTCACCATATTTTGTCTTATTATCAGGGTCTTCCCTGATATGTGTTATTAAATGTTTTCCACAAATTGATTAAATAAATTATGCATTACATGATTAGAGTAAATGATCGCTCAATCCATTTCATCAATGTAAGCAGTGCTTACATTTTGCCAGTGCAGTCAAAAAAGAAACATTTATCTTTGCTATCATCCCATAGAGGATGTTCCTTAACTTATCTGCGGTATGAATCAGATGTTGCTATGATTATGGGATTTTGAAAAATAAGTGACCATCTCATGGTATTTGATTCCAGTCAGAGGTCAGAGCAAATTAATCTTCACATTCCCACAATTCACAGTCAATAAGAATATTGTTCACATAAACCATGGATTATACAATTAAATTCTAATTTATTTTGAGAACAGGAAATTATTTTACCTTTTCTTCAGATAAGAAATACATAATGGTGCCTTCTGCAGTAGGATCCAAAGAACATGATGAAACTTTTGTAATGAAGTCATGCCTATGAGCTTCTTGAGACTCTGTCTTGAGACTCTGTGATACTTATCAGTTACAGAGGTTCCTGTAACATACTGTATATAATAGAATGGGTTTGATGACTGTTTGGGCTGTTTTTGGCTTGTTAATCGAAATTATCTAAACTCAGATTATATTTTTATTCTTTTTTAAATAAAAAGATGGGCACCAGTCTATATAGAATGCTTTGGAGATTATGTTTTATGTTCAATAGAATAAGTACAAAGTAAAGACAATTCTGAACATGGACATTTAATGTCTATCCTATCTCTTTTATCCTAATTTCTGTGCTAAACATTTAATCAGATGCAGCATTAAATATGAATAAGATGCAGAGATGTGAAAGGATATGTCAGAACTTAGTGAATGTTAACGTGTTTCTTTATTTTACAATATGAATATTTCAATATGAGTAACTGGAGAATGATTTGAGTTTTTTTTTTTGGAAGTGATGCTGCCGATATACCCAAATGCTGTCTAACATACTGTGAGATCAGGCTACACTTTGTGCCTATCTTTTACACTGCAGGAGGTAACCTGAGGCTTTCAGGCCTTCATATTCAGTCACCAGCAACATCTGAACAATATGGCTGAAGCTTTGCAGGGGAAGACCTGCGGCTGTAACCAGATACCACAGAAGCTCAATGAAGCTGTTTCATTCCTGTGAGAGCCCGTATCTTTGCAAGAATTGAGAGTTTCCAGAAAGGACTCTTTTACCAACATGAACACCTGCATTTACAGAAGGCCTAATACAACCAGATGTCAGAATGATAAGCCGTTAAAGACATAAAGTATGAATAAACAGAAAAAGGTTTTAAGTGAAATGGTTTAATGAATTGGAAGAATTAGTTATTTGAAGCTTCTGAATCTCAGACAAGAAGAAAGCTACATGGAAGCTGTGGACTGCTTCATCAGGATTTACAAATAATTCTAAACAATATAATTTCAAACGATATTGACTATTGTTGATTTTTTATTTGTTTATCATCTTTTGCTGCATTGAGATACATCCAGCTTTGTAGAGTTCTTTTTCTCAGGCTTCTTGCACTCTGGTGATAATGCACAGTTTTCCTTGTGCTGCCTTGCAACACTGTTTGGGAAGCCCAGGAGATGTCACCCCTGCTACTACATCATCTCCATCTTCAGAGGCATCCAAGGCTGATGATGCTGGGGTGGTCACTACTCAGCCAGGATCAAAGGACCAACCTCAACTCAAGCAGAAATTTTCAGTGAGCTGTATTACAGAGCAAGAAAGAATTCCAAATGGTACCAATTCAATTTCAAAAGGCCATGCCAGTGCTATATTTGCTAGTGATGACTGCATTTCAAATCCTTCTTCTGGCTGTCATAATTTCTCCAAAAGCTCCATCAATGGTATGCCAGATGAATGCCAAGATGTGGCTAGAAACTATGCTCACATACCCAGACCGTCCATCATTAAAAGTTCTGAGGTAGGTGACTTTTGCATGCAGCTGCATAAAGTCAACGTGTGTGATTAAGTGTTAAGTGTGATTTAAAATATACCATTAATATCTTACAGCTAAAATAATGCTGTTATCTTCCTTGCAAGATATTTTGAAGTGTTAATTGCTTTTTTCAAGAAATCATAAACAGAATGTTCACATACAGGGAAGTACAAATTATTTACATTGTTGTAATTATTTTTTAGTTCCAATCTTTTTTTTAAAAAAAGTATTAAAATCTATGAGAAAATATATGGAAGAAAAGAATGGATGTTTCCTACTTTTGGCATTTAACTAATCTTTTTTCTTTCTGTTTCATTATAAATGTATTCCTACACACAGAGCAGCATTCTTTCCACAGCTTTCTAGGTAGACCAAAAAGTGAAAACAATCCTTGAAAAGTATGAATATTTTTTCAAAATAACCAATAGTTTTATATTCTGCCATCTGCTCAGCAGGAAATATTGACCCAAATATACTTTGTGTGTCTCTAGCTCCAGCAGAGGTCACTGCAATTTGATGTAAAGTTTTCTTTTTTGGGGTTAGAGCTCTCCTGTAATGAAACATTCTTGCTATTATATGAAAATGATTATTTTTTTCAAACATTGCAATGTGTTATTTTGTGCATTGAGATCTGTAAAAGTCTATAGTTACTCTTGTCTAAGACCTTTTTAAGGCCCAAAACTACAAGCCTTTTATAGCACAACAAACTAGTTCTGTAAATAGTATGTCATGTAGGGAGCTGTGTCAGCATGCGTAGGCTGCAAAGGAACAAGTAATGGGTTTATTCCATGCTGAAAAGAGAAAAAAGGAAACACAACGTTTCAGCTGTGGAGCCTTCTTCAGGTGTCAGGTGTTTTTTCTCTTTTTAGCATGGAATAAACATTTACTTGTTCCTGTAAATAGTATAACATTTTATTTCATAGTTATAGTACAAAATGCTTATATTATGTACAATTATTATTATTATTTCTATTACTATTATAAACCAAGAAGCCAGCAATTTCATTATTTTTTTCAGCAATAATGGAATACAGGTATAATTTGGTAATATAATTTGATGCGGTTATGCAATATTTAGAAGAAAATATATAATTTAATTCTGTAAATAAGAGTGATCAGGGAAAAGCTTCAGACATTATGATCCAATTCATGATACGAATGCTTGTTACTCAATGCATTGACAGAGTTATTAGCCTTTGAAATCAAATTCTTATGAAGAAAACCAATGACTGTGTCAACAAATTGAAAAGGGTATTTGGAAAACATGAAGGCTTTTGTTAAATACAATTTATCCTGCAGTCAATATATACCAATCTACCTTGTAGACAGTCATCTACATCTACCTTGTAGGCAATCATCAGCAGTCATGTTATGCAGTTATGTTATGCCCTATCAGTCATTGGAATGGGATTTCCAGCCAATAATTTTCCTTTCACAGATGTGAGCAAGAAAATATGAACATTCACAAACGTTTGAAAAATGTTTTTTTAAAAATGGTTTTGTGACAGGAATGAGCTGATTTAAAGCTACTGTATAAGAAGAGAAAATTGAGCATTCATTATCTGGGAATATGCATGCCACAAAAATACACATTGTAGCTCTTTTACGAAGACCGTCCCTGAACATTTGTTTTTCTAGAAGATGCAGGCATTATATATCTTGCTAGTATTCATTTATCAAAACACAGATTTGATAGACGCAGTAAGGTGGTAAAACCTTATGATGTGGATGGACATGAGTCCCTTTGCTGTTTAGTCACCTGTGAGGGCAAGGTGAACCAATCTGTTCAAAACCTACAGTATGCTTTGCTGACAGTCATCTACACCAAAAGATAAGGTGAATACACTTTTTTAGGAAATAAAATGTAATTGTCAGTTATTTATCTTTCTGTACTTTCTGTATGAAGGATGAGAACGGTTCACACTTTTACTCCAAAATATGGACTCAATAGAACTGCTGACCATTTTTCATCCTGTGAGTCCCACAGTGCCTCCAGCATGTTAGCCCTAAGGGCTGTTATCAAACAAAGCACAAGTGAAGCCAAGAGTCTGGAAAATCTGCCCTTCAGCTAATGCTCAGGAGTCCAGTGGGAGACGAAATGGAACACAAACCCGATAACTCAAATCATGGGTGTTTTGTTCCTGACACGAAAATGATGTAAACAAGGCTCTACACAATACGGCATTTTGTCCTCCAGGAAACATCTATGATAGTGGTCTCTAAATCAGAAACAACTGTGCCTTTATCTCGATTACTAGTAGCAGTTCTTGGAATATTTTTCTTTATTAATTCATATTTCATATTTCCATTTTATTGCCAGTAAAGTAGATTTGACATTAATAGAGCATTTAATAGA